AACAGTAGCAATGCCATAATAGTACATACTCAAAAAATGCTAGCTTTTTAAAAGAGAAATAAATCAAACAAAAAGAATTATTGATGTGATGATTTCTTTCAGAATCATTATGACATGAATAATAGAAGACAGCCTTTCTATCAACTCTTAATTTCTTCATATTGAAATTGAGAGTTTAATATCTGTAAAGTGCCTGTAGTAAATGCATAATAAATGTCTATTTTTACTAAGATTGTCATCATTGGCACATCAATGTGTCCAGGTCAGGTTTAGTGGAAATCCAGTCCCGGATCCATTTGTATGCCAAGTCAAGTGTTGTGTACATACCTTAAACACCATACTTTAAAGATTCTGAATATTACATGTAATGGTACATATTGGAATATGTAGTTAGGCTACACTCATAGTTCATCTTCAAAGGTAATTGATCTGATTTTAAGTTCAGTCTGTCTTCCCTAGCTTTATTGGTACATTTTTAGTGGTGTTTTCTTGGTTTGAGCTAAACCAGTACCTCTCTAGAAAAGAAAAGAATTTTTTTACAGATCTTTTGGCATTGTATCAGTATTCTTAAGTTTATTCCTCCTATTCTTGGGCTTAAGACTTTTCTTGTCTTATAGTATGTTGGTTTAACATTTATATACTTCATTAATATTATAGATTGGAAACAGTAGGGTCAATTCCTCTTGAAATTTAACAGAAGTCCCTAAACGTAGAAAGGAATTACTATTTTACCTACAAATTCTAAAGCTGGGGAAGGGAGGGGTGTCTGCCAAATAAGTGATATTGCTTAAGGATATTTTGTGGCATCTATTTTTATTGTACCCAGTACCCATTTTTATTTCTCTATATGTATATAGTATTATAGTACTAGCTAACATACGTTGAATACTATTTCTAGTGAGACAATGTTCTAAGCCCTTTATATTTATTCATTTAATCAATGAAACAACTCTATGGTATAGGTGCCATGATTATGCCCAAGTGAAGAAACTGAGGCTTAAAGTTAACTTGCCCCAGATTTCATAGTTAGAGGCTAAACTGGAATATTAATAGAGACATGATAAAGGTTGTGCTCCTTAAATACTCTTAATTGCTAAGTTGCTTCATAATAAATTCCTCTTATCCTTCATGACCCGGACATATAGATTTGTAATTAAAGATAAATGAAATACAAGAAAGTTCTATTGATAGAAGAGTATGTGGAAAGCAGATTCTGTTTACATGTCAATGGCATTTTTCTGAATCTTTTTTTATATTTATTTTTGGAAAACCAGGTAATTATTAAAATAAAAGAAAATTTAAAATACAATTCTCTTAGTAAATTAAAAGTAATTTTTCTCCCATTAGCCTTTGAATTCCTTGAGGCCAGAGAATAATGAGTAGCTGTTTAGTACATAATTATATTGAAATTACTTGAAACTCCATAATTTTTAAAATGAAACACAAGAGGGTGCTATTTACCATTCACTACCAGTTTCTTTTGAAATACAGCAGCTTTATTAATTTTTTGTTGTTGGTGGTGGTGATGGTCTGGCTGGAATCCCCAAAGCCTATTAATTTGTTTTTCTTAATTTCTTTAGTTTGTAGATAGTTTTGCGTTGGCCTTGTCTATGTAATAGATAAACAGTGTATCTACCTTGGGGCTTTAGATATCAAATTATATTAAATCATTTTTGCGCAAATCAGAAGAAAAGTAATGGAAAGTTTTTTTAAAGAGGGTCTTTGGTTTTTTTAAACCAAACTTAGCATTTGAATATTTGAATACATGATATTTTAGGAATTCTTTTCCTAAATTAAGAACATGTAGTTATAGTGACATTTTGCTACAGGGTATTTTAAAAAGTATTCACATTTTTCATAAGTGGTATCATTCTGGTTTAAATATTGACATTTTTTTTCTAAGTTAATAAGCAAATCACAAAGTTTTGATAGCCTCAGCATGTAGTTACCTTGCTTTTATATCAGCATTTATCAGCAGAATTATAACTCTTTATTTTAATTTTATAATCACATGTTTCGAACAGCAAGATGAACAATACCAGTTTCCATTAGATGTGTTTTTGGCACTTTGCTGAGCACTTTATCTCAGTCATTTAACTGACTCTTTAAGATAAACCAGAAAGGTAGGTAGTTTTATCACTTTTATAGTTCTGGTATTTGGAGGAGTTAAGTAATGCTCAGGCTCACATAGGTAGGTAGAAGCATAGCAGGAGTTTGAAGCCAGGTCTTTCTGGTTTCCTCACCACTGTACCATACTGCCTCTGTAGGCAGCTTTTTTTTTTTAAACCACTCCATAGTTCACCAGTGCCACACTTAATGCTACCAAGAATTTATTTTTTCTTTGCTCAACATAATCTGCACATTCAGCAGGTCCCACTGGTCTTTTATAAGTAAATGAAGGGAAACTATTTAAACAGCATTTTCACCAAGATAGTCACGTTCTTATGGTTAAAATAGGATTGCTTCAGTATATAATTATTCAAACCACTGGAACTGAGAAGAATAAGCATGGAAAAATAGACTCTAATAATTATTTTAAATTTAGGAGGACCACCTAACACCATACACAAAAATCAATTCCAAATAGATTCAGTCCAAACATGAAAAAGGAAACAATAAAGCTTTTGTGTTTTTGGGAGAATATCTTCTTGACCTTGTTGTAGTAAAGATTTCTTAAATTAGACATTAAAAAGGTTAACCATAAAGGAAAAAAACTGATAAATTGGGCTATATTGAAATTTAAAACTTCTGTTCTAAGAATACTATTAGGAGAGTGAAAAGGCAAGCCACAAAGTAGAAGATATCTGTAATATGTTATGAACCTATAACAGGACTGTATCTAGAATATGTCAAGTAAGTAAAAGACAAGCCAGTAGATAAATGAGCAGAATTCTTGAACAGACATCATAAAAAAGGATATCAGAAAGGCTGATACGTATGAAATGGTGCTCAATCTTATTAGCCATTAGGGAAATACAAATTAATATCATAATGACATATTACCACAAACCCATAAGAATGGTTAAAATTAAAAGATTGACAACATAAACTGCTGACAAGGGTGTGAAACTGTGGGAACTCTCATATATTGTTATTTGGAGTGTAAATTTTTGTAATTGCTTTGTAATCTATTTGGCACTGTCTGCAAAGCTGAATATATGCTGCTCAGTATACCTTGCATTAATATGCCACAATGTATTAAAATTTCTGGTGATCCAGAAATTTTATTCTAGGTATACATGTATAAGAATGTTCTTAGCAGTACTTATTGTAGTAACCCCATACTGGAAACAACCCAATTTCTGTCAACAGTAGAATGGATAAATACATTGTGGCATATTAATGCAAAGTATACTGTATAACAAGAATGAATGAGCTATTGTAGTATGTTATAACATAAATGAATCTCACAAAAATAATGATAAAGAAGCCAATCACAAAAGATTACTTACTCTTGGGCACTTTGCAGAGAAGTTTGCCTACCCCTGGACTAAGACAATGTTGATTTTAGTCATCTAGTTACATATCTACATTGTTTCACCTGTTTTATCCATCTTCATTGATGCTAAGTTGGAAGCTGGGGTTGTGAATCTGTTTCAATTGGCCTAAAGTCAGAGCAGTATAGCAAGAAGCCTGCTGTTTAGATTTTACTCTTTGTCTTATAGAGTCACCTATGAATAGGGTGACCATACATTTCATCTTGCTTGGAAGAGTCTTGGTTTACATCTGTTTTTCCAGGCTGTTATTATATTATGATAACATTACATCCTATTATTATAATAGTTAATAGTTGCTCTCTTTTGTTCTTAATACCCCCAGTTTGGATAATAAATTATATGGTCATTCTGTCTGTGAATGCTACCATTGAGAAGGATAGTAGTAATAGAAATAGGAATAGAATAGATATTGATAACTATGCAAGGTGGAATTTAAGAGATTAATTTTTGAGGTCCCCCAGACCATCTGAATGATTTGCTAGGATTCATAGGACTCAGATACTCATGGTGAGGGTTTATTACAGTGAAAGGATATAGAGTAAATTCATCAAAGGCACATGGGGGAAGTCTGGAGGAAACCAGGTGTCAGCTCCTAGATGTTCATTCCCACTAGAGTTACACAAGACCCCCAAAATGATATATGATGACATGTGCAAAGTGTTCACAACCAAGGAAGTTCACCCTATCCTGAGTGTCCAGGATTTTTATTGAGGGTCACTCACATAGGCATGTAGAACCTGCATGACTGACTTGGTTACTTAAGTTCCAGAACCTCAGAGAAGAAGAGCTGGTCACCATAAATGACATTGGTAGCGTAAACTGTCTCCTCAGACTGGTCCAGTGTGGCCCAAGGCCACGGGCATATAAAACACTCTTATCAGACAGAACTTTCCAAGGGCTCAGTCCAGGAGCTAGCCAGGGGCTAGTCTGAAAACAAGCCATTTTAGGGAATGTGTAGTAGGGTTTGAGCAACCCAGTCCTGCTCGCTCACACAAGGTCATACAGGATATTCAGGCTAGAGTTTGAACATAAGTAAGTCTGATTCCACAGTCTGTATTCTTTCTGTAAGTAATTTTTAGTGATCTTTTATACTGATTTGCTAATTAGAAATTACTGGATATATTAGATGTGGTAGAGACTTGGACTTTGCCCATCTATCTTGATAAATACTTCTAATAAGCTTTCTTCTTTTTTTTTTTCTCACATGAGGATAGAGAGCTTGATTTGAGTATTTTTCAGTGCTTTTGTAAGTAATGGTGCCAAGAATTTCTAGTTCTTATTTTTAGCAAAGTTTATTTTGCTTTGTATTGATAAGTACTTTACATGAAGAATTGTCTGTAATTACTCCTTTTGCACTTAATACAGTTTTTAATTTAAAAAAGAAATGTGATAATAGACTTAGAAAAGTTTAGTTCATAATTAAGAATTGTTTGCCTTATAGATAATAGATTTGAATGAACTTATACAGTTCTCAAAAGCTTTTAACCTTTTTCTCTTTTTTAGGTATTTGTGGAAACATTAGACAAGTGTTTTGAAAATGTCTGTGAACTGGATTTAATTTTCCATGTAGACAAGGTAATCTTTCTGTATTATCAAATCTTTTAAACTTTTTATCTAAGAAAAATGTTAATTTGTATTTGTCAAAGTAAAAACAGATTTGGTGAATAATACTATTTCTATTTATTTATTTATTATTCAGTTCATAAATTATGTTTACTATGAGCCAGATACTGTGTTTAGTGACGCTTCAGACCCTGTCCTAAAGGTATTCACATCTAGAGGAAGAAACAGTGGCATTGACAAGTAACAGTATGTTCAGAGTGTTAATGGGAACACAGCTGAACCACCCACCTCTGCCAAGGAGTGTGTAAATGGAATAAATTACATTTAAACTGGAATTTTAAGGATTAGTAGATATTTCACAGACAGAAAAGGAGAGGATGGCCCTGTAGGCAGAGATATAAAATACAGGCTTCTTGTGAGGGGATAGTTTTATTGATTAAGAGACCTAATTTTGAAGTGCCTTAGATGACGTGGATTTTAGACTTCGTTCTGAAGCAGTTAATTTTTTTAAAGAAGCTTTTGTTGGCATTATTGTTGCTTTGTGCATTTTTGGGGCAAAACTGTTTTTTTCTGCTCTTTGGAGTTTGGGTTGGTAGGTGGGAGATTAAAGACAGGGAAATTGATTAGGAGTCTGTTGGTGGTAGTCCAGAAAGAAATGAACTAAGGCAGTATATTAGGGATGAAAGAAAATAGAATTGACAGGCCCCGATAGCCTATTGAAAGGAGGAGGTGAGAGGAAGGATGACTGAGTTTTCTGTCCAATATTACTGAGTATTGATGATACGGAATTTAGAAGGAAGAGATTCTACTTTTACTGTATACAGATTTTTTTCTGTATTATATAATGTAACAGATTGTTTTGAATGATTAAGTCATTGAATAACATAGTCTGAAAATAAGTTGTCAAAAATTGTTGCAAAAAATGTGATTTTTAGAAATCAACTTTTTTGAGGTATAATTTACATGCATTTAAAGCTGAGCACTTTTAAGCATACAGTAAACTAAGTTTTGGCAGATGTATATAGTTCTGTAACCATTACCACAGTCAAGCTTAGCACAAGGAATGCATTTTATTATCGTGAACATCAAAAGGATAAATTTATCATTAGGCAATCCTTTTGATCATATTTCTCATTTACTGAGTGATTTGATTTCATGTATTAATTCATCTTGGATAGATTAAACTTGGTATTTTTAAGAGTCTATTTTTAGTTTTCTGCTGTTTTTCTCTATCTTACTTTTTTTCACTTACAAATACATTATTTTTAGGAATTAACGTTCACAGTATTCAAAATTATGTTTCGGTGCATGATTAAAATATTTTTAAAAGCTCTATTTTTTAAATGACTGCTCAAAAATCATTACCTTATATAAAAATGTAGCAATTTAAAAGATACGTGAAGATTCTATTATAAAATGTTGCTGTAAGAGTAAAGTTCTAGAGGATAAAACTTTTCCTTAATAGGAAAATTAAGCTCTACTCATATTCAACTTCCATACATGATATACAGTATTTTTAAAACTTCTATTTTATATTAATATACAATAGAAAGTTAGAAAATATAGAAAAGAGGAACATAAATAGACGCCATCTCGATTTCAGAGATTGCCTGGTGTTAAATGATAAACTGAAGTGTATTAAAACTTTTAAGAGTTTATTTGAGCACACATTGATTAAAATCGGGCAGTGCCAAACCAGAAGTGGTTAGGAGCACTCTATTGACAGGAGCCCGGGGAAAGACTTTTACAGAGAAGAGGCAGAAGCAAAGCAAGGAAATTATCTGATTGGCTATAGCTTAAGCAGTTGTATTATTTGGGAAAGTGGAGTTGGCTGTTTATGATTGGTTGTCCTTAGGTTTTGATTTCTTAATCATAGGCATTTACAGGCTTAGGTTTTGGTTTGCTTATATAGGCTGCCGAGGTCTGATAGCCTCCTTGTTTAGTTAACCTAACGGTAGCACTAACGCTTTGCAGTATGTATATTTCTAGATATAAGTACAGAAATAATGTCTTTTTAAAAAACAAAAATGAGATCATACAGTATGTAGTGAGTATATCCTGTTCATTTCACACAATAGTGTGTCACTATTTTAGAACCTGCCAAAATTAGCTATGTCTTTTCTTTCTGGACTAAGCTCTTGTTTTAATGTTTTTCAGTGCAATAGGACTAACAGCTTTAGTATTCCAAGATTCTGAGACCAGTCAGATAGACATTTCCTGTCCCTGCATTTTCTATCTAAAACAATGTTAGCCTTGTTTTCAGCCCATCAGTGATAATAGAATTATTTTCAACCTTTCAAGCAGCCCTGGACCTTCCAATAGTCAGGGATCTTCTATGGCTCAGCTCATATTTTTTTAGGGGCAGATATATAGAGTTTTGCACACAACTCTCAGCCTGCTTTTAGATCACAACTGGGTAGATGAAAGGAGGAAGTTGTGAAGAATATCCCTGTTGTTATCAGTCAGGATGACCTAGTTTATGCTGTAGCAACAAATATATTTCTAATTCATGCAGTATGTTTATTATGTTCCACATGTTGTTACTCTGGGATCCATGGTGACAAAGCTGCCACCATCTGGAACATCATCAGTTCCTATGTTAGAGAGAAAAGTTTTCATGAGTAAATTTATCTGCTTTTCAGGTTTTCACAGGTGATAGTTTTACCAAGTGTTTTTCCACTACAAACATGAATCACTAACTTCCTAGCCTCTAGTATATATTTCCATGTGGCCTGCTGCCCAACCCCTAAAGTGTCTTTTCCTTAACTGTGATTGTTACCAGTTTTTTTGTTACAGATCTTTACTGATTTCTGTATCAGTCACATAGACTAATATTGTAGTTATCCTGAAGCAGTGGGATAGCCCACCCTACCCAAAATTAGTTTGAAAGTAGAGACTAAAGATCTAAAAACATGTATCACTCACATAATAAGGTTTTCTGGGGAGAGCAAGGAACAACAGCTGGCTTGGGGTTTTATGCAGTTAGCGGGTAGGCCTGGAATGAGGGTTTCCACATGTGAGCCAGGTCTTACATGGTTTGAACTTTCCTCAGTGCAAAGGAAGGAGCACCTGGACTATATCAGCTTGCCCAGATGTGGGACAGAAGAGGAAGGGGAAGAGATGAGCCTTGAAAACTATCTACAGTCAGATATCAAAAATGGAGTCAGACTCTTTATTATAGCTAAGTTCTGCTTTGGTAATGACCCATAAAATACTAGTAACTTGGTTTATTTCTTTTTTACACTACATATCCATTGTGGGTTTGCTGGAAAGGTCTGTTTATTTGCTCATTTAGGTTACCTGCCCATTTCCTGAACACTGTGGCATTACTTGGGCAGCCCCAGGTTGTTGCTAATCCTGCATGCAACACAGCATCAAATCCCAGGGCAAAGATAAGATAGCTGAAGATTCTATGAAGAGTTTGGTTTGAAGGATGTATGTCTTTGACATTGACAGGTGTGAATGTGCTCTGTCCACCCCTTCCTACATTCCCTCCTGGCATTCCCTAAATTATCAAGATAAGGGAAATCTGATTGGAGACCTAAGTGTCTTTCCTACTCGTAAGAGCAGAATTGTTTCCTCTAGCCCTGTCCCTCTTGAGGAGTTTGACAGCCTATCCCTAAACCAGTCTATAGAATGAGAGGCTCCTTTTCCTTTCACCAACTGAAAAAGTCTAGCCATTAAGAACATTTCAGCAGACCTAAGTACCAGTGAGCTAACAAAGAGAATGCCATATCAACAAGAGACATGATGAACAGTTTGAACAATCAGAACATATGTTCCATGAAAGAGAACTATTAGAGGAGATAGATGAACACCTGAAATTTAAAAATTATTAAAAAGCAGGTAAGGAAATACAATTTGGAAAAGTCTTCTTGGGCCTTAAAAACATGTTTTTCAAAATATAGAGTTTAAAAGAAGAGGATGGTAGAATATAGTCCAGGAAATAATCTCAAAGCCCAGGACTGAAAAATTAAGAGAAAAAACATGAAGGAAAAGATAAGAGACTTTGAAGGGTACATATAACATGTATTATAAAAGTATATTGATTATCGTATTCAGTTGGGGTAAAGGAGAATAAGGGATAATTAGAGCAATTTAGTAGGAAAACAAGGCATCTCAGTGGTAGGAAGACCTGATATTTGTTTTACTAATAGTGATAAAGTCATGTGTTTGAAAGAGCAAAGAGAGAATAGTAATCATGAATGAAAATTATAAACAGAATCTCTGATTTAAAAGAAGAGGAAATGTAAATAAAATTTGATCATATCAACCAGCATGGGGTGGGAGGAAGAAAGTAACAGTTTAAAATAGATATATTATTTAAAACACTAAGTGTGAATTGACTGAAATAATCATTAAAAGACAGAGACGATGGGTTTAAAAGACACAGTTTATATAGAAAAGGCACAGTAAATTCTGAAGTATTTTCCTTTACCAGTTTTCATAACAATTTGATTTCCTAATACCTACCAAAAATGATCATTGAATTTTTTTACTATTCTTGTAACTTGAATTTTAACATAATCAATTTGTTTTAAGCCACTGCTAATATTATTTTTGATCCTCAAATTGCCCCATCTTTGGCCAATGGGAACTCCTTCAGGTTGTCTTCTGAGTCCTTTTGACATTACCCCTTGCTCATGGACTTTGATAGCTGCTTTGTGTTTTGGCACAATAGCTGTTTCAGACTCATTTTGTCCATTTCCTGCTCAAGACACGTTATCAGCCGTACCTTTTTGGAGCCCAGATTCTTTTTAGTGGGAAATGGTATATAGAAACCACAGTCTGGAAGTACTTATAATTATGAGGCTGGTCATTGTTTCTAGGCCTTTTCTATGGACAGCATCACATATTTTCTGTTCCACCCTTGAGTTAGCTATTTCTCCAAGCAACCCTTGTTCCTTTAATGGACAATGCTGTTTAGAAATGACAGTCCCTGCACCATATATGCTCATTGCCAAAGGGGTAATGTTACTCCTGGTTCTTTGTGAACCAACCTGGGATTTAGT